TCTCCAACAGCAAAACAAGAACTGCTTTTGCAGCAACACAGAGGCCCGGATGGCGGGGGGCGGGGCTAAAAACATATGGCTGGGGGCTTTGGGCGTGGCCAAGCCTTAGGGGAGGAGCCAGATCTTCTGGTCCAGCTCATAGGGGCCAGATAGAGGAAATGTCAGGAAAGACACTTGGGTCAGAGGTGGGACCTGGAGCTGAAACCAAGGTGATGCCTGGCTGGATTTTGTAAGTTGTTTTTTGATGGTTTGCTTGTTTGTTTTGTTTTTTTGGTGCTGGGAATCAAACCTGGGGGCCTTGGGCATGCAAGGCAAGCACTCTACCAACTGAGCTATTTCCCAACCCCATCCCTAAAGAAGATGAAAGGTCATTTGCAGGAAAAGTGAATGGAACTGGACATCATCATGTCAAAGGAAGTTACACTCAGAAAGACAAGTGTTGATGTTCTCTCATGTGGACTCTGGACATGGGGGAAGACAACAGGAAAGTAGTAGGTGGACTTTCAGGGAAGGGGAAGAGGACCACGGTTATAGTGAAGGGGTTACAGAAGATAATTGGGAAGGAGGATGTGATCAAAGCATGTTATATGCATATGTGGAAATCTCATGGTGAATCTCATTATTTGGCATAATTAATATGCATCAAAGATTATAATTATTGTAAACACAACATTTTGAAACTATTTTTAATAATTGAATACCTCTTTTAGTGATTCCTTCATGAAATATTATCTATAAGACTTCCTTAGTGACTATTCCTAGATTATTCATAAATTATGATCATTGATTAGATTTTGTTTTTCAAATCATTTAACTAGCTGAGAGAATACATCTTAGACCATGCTAAATATGTTTGTAGCAGATATTTTTTTCCATCACTGGGCTAGAGTGCTTGGTTAGAATGCATAAGGCTTCGCATTCCATCACCAACACTACAAAGCATCTTTTTTAAAAAAATACAACTAGAAATACTGAGAAAACTAAGAATACATAATTTTACTTTAGAAAAAGTAAATCAAAATCCAGATAGCTCCCACCCCCCAAAATTAAATTGATTTTTCACTAGAGCCAAAATTCTGTCCTATCCAAAATTCACTCTTATTTCTGTGTTCTTTCCCTCTGTGTCCTTTTTGAGTTTGAGAAATTCTTACTGTCACACCTAAAAGACTGTTGCATGGATTAGTGTAGTGTGATGTACTTTATTCTTCTTTTTAAAATATATTTTTATAGGGGAAAAATATATCATTGGGACAGCTTTCTTGAATAGGTTATATTAGAAAAAAACCTATGGCTTTTTCTAATATAATCTATTCTTTGAAAGAAAATTCAAACAAACGATCTTCATTTGCAGTAATGCAATGAGATTTTGCAGAAAACTGTCTACTTAAAAGGCAGTTTCAGGGATGGGAGTGTAGCTCAGTGACAGAGCATGAAGTCCTGGTCCAGTCCCCAACACTCCTCCAAATATAAATATATGATTTTAATGAGAATAAAATGTTTTCTGACATGCTTTTTTATATGTGTTTTGGTGGAAAGTGGGCAAGGAAAAACA